ATTGTTCTTTTATGTTCTTTTGGTAGTCTGTGAACCTCTGTGTTTTCTTTTTGGTTCTATTATGTTCTATTGAAACTCTTCTGAAACAAATTGTTCTTTGGCTTGTTATGCCTTCATCATGCTTCATCCAAGATGCTGAAGGTTCGCATTTGGCCCTCTTTGCTTCCGGAGCAGCTGCAGTCAGAGCAGCGGCCTCAGCCAGTCCAAAAAAAAAAGAATTCTGTAAGTACCTAAATACCTCCCAAACAATTGTTCTTCTCTATCTCCTCTCATTCAAATCTGGTTCGTATCGGGTCCTACAGTCTTTTGATACTCTACTCATCTCTACTCACCTCTCTTCCTTCACTCTCTTTCTATATATCAATATCCTGTTGATTCCTGTTGTTTCTTTTTCTATGTCTTCTAGATATTGTTCTCTGGCGTATTCTGGCTTCATCCAAGGTGCTGAAGGTTCACAACTGGCCCTCTTTGGATCTGCAGGGGCGGTATTGACAGCAGCGGCCTCAGCCAACACAAAAAAAAAAGAGAGTCCTGTAAGTACCTGAATACCTCCCAAATATTTTTTTCTCTATCTCACCTCATTCAGATCTGGCTCCTGTCATGGCCTGCCTTTCCTTCTATTGTTCTTTTATGTTCTTTTGATAGTCTATAAACATCTATAAACCTGTTTGAAACCTTTTGAAACTATTTGATTTCTGTGTTGATTCTTTTTGATACTATTGACATCTATTGACAATCTTCTGAAACATGTTGTTCTCTGGATGTTCAAGTCATCCAAGATGCTGAAGGTTGGCTCTTGGACTCCTTTTCTTCTGGAGCGGCAGTAGTCGAGGAAGCCTGAGCTAGTCCAGAAATCACAGAGGCCTGTGACTACCTAGGGACCCCCCCAAATAATTTATGTTGTCTACCTGCCCTCATTCGGATATGGTTCCTATATGTTCCTATGTGCTCCTATTATGCCTTCAGCTTCAGCATGCTTCATCTATCAAATGCCTTTGATCAAATCTTGATTTGATGCAAGCAGCCAAAAGTGCACTCTTGGCTTTCTTTGGCGCTGAAGATTCAGCCTTCTCCTCAGCTGCTACAAGATGCTACAAGTTTGTCATGTCTACTGTCAAGCAATCTACAAACAGCATCCAAGTATACCCGCTAAACTTGCCATAGCTTTTTCATGCTTTTTCTGACCCCTGCACATTTGTGGCAAGATGCTTCAGATTGTGGCAAAGCTGCCTGTTCAGACGCAGGCTCCTGGAAGCAGCAATGGTGGGTGTTCAACACCCTGGACACCCTTGAAATAATTGTCATCTCAACTATGACTAAACTATTTGGGCAAAGATGTTTTGCGTGACTGGTTGAAGGTACAAAGGGCAAGGGGTAGGTGGGACTCTATAGACCCACCAAATACTTATCATATGCTTAAAACCTATCACTATCTCTGACAGCTTCTGAAACATCCATATTATTTGAGCGGTGTTTGACTTCATAGATGCCTAACAAATAAAAGTATTCCTAAGGTTCACCCCCAAAAAAAGCAAGCAGCTTGGAATGATTTCCATTGATTTCCCTGGCCAACCCGCATCTGGAAGCCAAGCCACAGTGACAAGGCGGTCTTTGCAAAGTTGAGAAAGGCAGGTTGAACTCACCCAAGCGTCATCCAAACTTAGGCAGGATATGGCGGAACGGGCTCAATCTGAAAAGGTCTGGGCACAGTTGCATCATTGAAAACACCACTGGCTGCCAATTGCAAACCCAGATGCAATACGGTCACGTGATGAGACAATCTGCGGGTCCCCTTGGATGTCAGTGTCTCCGAGTCCTTGGTTTCACAAGTTTTCCCCTGGCACAACTTTGCAATATTTATTAGAATTGCGAGGGAATGTGAGGGAAGTCCTATGAAGTCCTCCATAGTCCTCCAAAGCATTTCGCAATACAAAATTCCAGACATCCATGTGTGGTCCTGAAACTTCTCCCTAAAAACAAGTTTGGCAAGCCTTGTTTTTCGCAACCCCCTGCTCACTACTGTAATCTTGAGAATTTTGCCCTGTCTGGGTCAAAATCTAATGAATTATATCATTCATCTCTTCGTTGCCTCCCTCAAAGCTACATCACATCGCATGGGTTGGGGCGCCATGGTGTGCCTCATTGAGTGCAAGACTGCCCTCAGCGGTAATGGCATTGGGAGCATCCTCAACAGGCTCATTGAAAGACTCTTGGGAAGATTCCAAAATCTCCCAATCAGACTCAGAACTCTCAGAACCGTGCGAAGATGACGAAGGAAACATTGCATGTAGAGACAGGCATATTGGACACGTGCATCTTGAGACTTCCAGAAGTGGCCCGGCAGCAGCATCTCCATCACCCTGCTTCACCTCATGCTGTGAAGACTCAATTGCCGCCTCGGTATCAACCGCCATGTCTCCTGTAGCGTTTGATTCACTGGCATCTTCGAAGTCAAATTGGCCATCACGAAGATCTGGACTCTGGCATTCAAATGATGTCAAGCAGGAATCTGAGCAAGGCTGCTGTGTTGGAGGACCAGCTGTGCCATGTTTCTCAGAAGCATTCAACTCCTGGTGTGTGCGACCACGCTTCAGCTTGGCTGCCTGGACTTGTGCTTGCTGGTCTGAGAAATGTTGAGAATCTTCATCTTCACTCTCCACACTGTCGAAATCCAACACCGCATAGCTCCTTTTCAATTTTGGAAACTCGCCCTGTGAAAATGCCAATTGCTTTTCATTCACCTTCTGGACCTTCTGGTCATCCTCATCAATCTCCAGCTTCAAACTTGAAGAGATTCTCAAAGATTGCCACATTGGAGACTGAGACGCCATGGGAATCAAAAGTGAACAGATATTGACACCAAGATTCACTAATATCTTGAGCCTTTAACAGTGCACCACAGTACACCTCTATATCTGCCCCAACCCTCCACCCTGACAGAAACTTCCAAAATCCACCAACTTCCTGTCACTCTTCCTGTCCCATCCCTGTCCCCTATTTTTGGCAAGTCACGCATCTACTCACCCATGTTTGGTACTTGTCCATGAAGGTGGGCTTCTGCATGTTCCCAGGACCTTTGCCAGCTGCCAGTGCTGCCAGAAAACCAAAACTACATTACTCAGTACTCTTGAGAATCAATATTACTATTGCCAATACTGGCAATGCGTCCAAGTTACAATTCCGGACAGTGCAGTTCACTGGCCATCCAGATGGTGCCTTTGCCTCTTCTCCCTTTGCTTCCGCTCAGCCAAATCAATACAAATGTGTCCACCAATGTCAGACTGAAACATCAACCTCTGCTTTGCCAAAATGAAGGATGAATTCCAAATATTTCCACTATCTATTATTGACTCAACTGACTCCAGACAAATTTGATCATTTTCTTCTGCTCGTTGATCATGCTGCCATGCGGACCCTTTCAAAAATGTTGCAGCAACCAAGCATTGGTGAAACATGTCATGTCTGGTCCATCTAAATCTTGAATAAATGCCTTTAGTGTCTGAACAGAAACTTCAGCTGTTTTTTCTGACCTTTCCTTTGGTGCCTCACGCTGACCCTGCAAAACATGTTCCACGCAATGAACAGGATCAAAACATGCAATGATTGATCCCTCTAAAATTGATTGTAGTGCTTTGGTGTTTCAACAAATGTTTCAGCTGGTTTTTCTAATGTTTCATCTTGTGCCCCACGCAGACCCTGCAAAGCATGTTGCAGGAAATGAACATACTCAATATCTCTTATGTTTGATTTCAATAAAAAATATAAATATCTATTTGAGTTCTGAACCGATTTTACAACTTTTTTGTAACCTCCATCTGTTATCCCAAATGTAGATTTTCAGCAAATTATTTGGGGGTAACCTAGGTGTTCTTGGTAAATTAGTCTAGGGTATACCTAACTGTTCGTAGAATATTATTTGAAAAAAATATAGACCCACCTCATCTCATACTCAATAATCAACGTTTCAAAAAATTATTTGAAAACAATTATTTGGCGAACATACCCCACCCCTCCAAATAAATTCTCAAGGAGGTAGCCATCGAAAAAGAGACACCACTTTCCTTTCCCCTTCCTCCACTCCACTGGGCGTCTCCGACAGGGGCCGCCGATGCATTAAGGCCTCGGGATCGATAAAGGAAGACGAGAAACATGGGGCCAAGTGGATTGTTAAGAACCCAACTGAGGCAAGTCCAGGTTGAAGAACCCGAGTCGTTCGACTATCCCACAAGGGCCCTGAGTTCAATTCCATAATACCATGCACTGTTAGATGGTTCCTTGCTGGAACCAATTCACAAATAGTATATAGTGCAAGAGTTTTCCAACTTACCAACTAACTGATCCTCCATCTCGGCGCCCCTTTAATCTCTATATAGGAACACATTAGAAAACAAACCAACATCTGCCCACGTACTGATCATCTGCGCCGTCACAGCACGTCAATCCGGGTCCCGTCGCCTCGTCCCCTCGCTCCAGGCCCCGACGCGAACGCCTTCGGCTTCTCCCAAGCTCAAGAGTGCATAGAAGCGGCCAGGCTCGGCCTGCGGCGAGATTCTTTCGAGTGCCAGGGATTGAAGGACCTAAGAAAACTATAGAAGGTGTCATATGTGTGTTTTTATCTATTATTTTTTGTCGGTAAGTCGACTTTTTTTTACCTTTTTTTTACACCCAGGTCCAAGTGTCGTATAAGTTCTTCTTTTTAAGCCTTTGGATGCCTGTGGCATGTCTTTCTTTGCAAAAAAGCTTCCAACATGTTCCAACCGGAGTTCCGCAGCCCCAGTGGCGACCCGGTCGGTCGGTCGACGTCTTCGCAAGCCAAACGCGTCGTCGCTTCCACCACCTCCACGGCATCGCAGCGCCGCAAGGCACGGGCCTTGCCGCGGTGCACGGGTGAGGCGGTCGGCGTCGAGAAGGAACGGAGCTAACACGACCTGTTTTGGTGCCGGTCAGGCCAGGGTGGTGCCAGGGGGGTCGGTGCCAGGGGCGGCAGATATGGCGTATACGACATGGAGTGTCTGGGAATGAGAATCCAGAAGCAGCAAGGCACCGTTCCGTGAAAGCCGAACCTGGGCACATGAGAATCATTCCTTTTTCCTGATTGGTCCTTAGCCAGGAACGAGGGAATATGAGGGAATGAACCCCCCACGTGGTAGATACCTACAAGGATCCATTACTCCATTCTCTACTAAGCACCGGTCAGATTTTTTGGGGGGCAAAAAAGAACTGATGTCACCAAGCACTGTGGCGAGATCAATACCACCAAAGCAGTTTCTGTGGCATAGTGGCACATGACATCTGATGTGATATGTGTGTACCAGTGTGTGTACCATATATTCCTCTTGACGTTTGTCTTAGCGGTTTGCCTCAAATAGAAACAGGCGACCAGAACTCAAGGAGTGCCAGAACTCAAGGTTTCAAACCTCTGTCAAATGTCCAGCTTCGACATCCGTACGCCTAAACCCTAAACAAGGACCAGCGGTCAGTTGGTCAGTTCTTCAATTGGATTGGCAACACGTCAGCCGCTGGAGTCACTATAGCAATCCTTTTCTGAAGCACTTCAGGGGAAGCGGACCTGATGATCCTGACTCCTTCAACCCTGACGCTCGAACATGAAAAAATATAGAATAGCTTTCTCAAGCCACATGGACCATGGAACATGCCTGTGCAAACGAAACTTTCCATCAACAGTTTGGTGTTTCCTTTGGACTAGTAACAAGGCACCTTACTACTAGTAACAAGAAGCTACTAGGTTGGAGGCCACCGCTATTAGGGTGGAGGCCATCGCTGTTAGGTTGGAGGCGTCACTACTAGTAACAAGAAGCTACTAGTAGCGATGCACTTGGACCTCCTTACCTTCCACCCATGGCCAACCACTCGCTCGCCACGTGGCCACCGTGCGCGCAGAGAGTGCTTTCCGCCTCATTTCGCACGTGGCTCGTGAGAAGCTTTTCAGCTGGGGATCGGGCAGTTGGCTTTGAAGTAATGAAGAGACAAGCTACTTGGCAACTAATGCTTGCCTTCTTGTCTCTCCAAACTCATTACGATGTATGCCCCGAATCAATTCTATGCTTGTCTCGGACACTTTTGTACCCTTAGCCCATGCATGACTTCAGTATGTGCTAAAAATTCGATCAACACCCAACAGCATTCCAATTCTACAGGCTCCAACAGCATTCCAAGCAATTTCACCCACGTGCCGTGCCGCCCATCCGGTGACGCACTCTATCGCACTCATTCATCGCCTGCCGGGACCAGTCCAAGGGCCCCTGGCAGCAAACAATGACCGCCTTTCGGTGTGGGTGGCAGCAGGCTCATTTCGCCCGCGTCCTTGGAGCTGACCGCAGACCGCAGGCACGCCGTTCCCGCCGGCTTCGACGGTTCGGGTGGTGGCCGTGTGGCCGGAGGTGACACCGGCGACCCGCCAAGAGAATGGCGGCCTCGGGCCACGTGGATGGATGCGTGTTCGTTCGGCGCTGGGCATCGGCGCTGGTCTGTAGATGTCACTATTATGTCTGCATGGTCTGTGGGCTTCTGGCCAAATGGTCCCCCCTAGTCGCAGTTGAGACAAGCCAAACCGATCTTGCTGAGGACATCAAAAGAGGATGGTCTTTACAAATCTTTGCCCCTCAGGACCACAAAGAACCATTCTCACCACCTCCCTTTCTGATATCCCTTCATGCCTCTTTATCACAAACAAAAACATCGACTAAGACTACGGAGGCCACCAAAGACCAGGCAAGTGTTGCCCTCCACTACGCCATCCGCTCCCTGCCGCTGCCGGAAGGCGTTCTGTTTGGGGGGACGGTGTGTATACGGTGCTGACCGAGCTTGGGAGGATCGGTCAAGAAGGATGGGAGATCGGCACGTGGAGTTTCAAGTCTAAAAAGCAAGTGGCTAAGCCTGACTGGACGCTTTTTCAGTCAAAAGAAGGAGTCATGCTATGTACCTGCAACATCTCTGCCGAGCTTGGCTGGGTATTATAGATGAAAAGGCCATAGAAAAAAGGCACCGTTGGAAGATCCAGGTGGGTTCTATCAGGTCCTATCCCAAGGCCGCTGCCAATTGGCTGCTGTGCAAAGTGCTTGAAGTTGATGGCAAGCTTCTTTAAAACAAAAACACAACCACTTCATTGGACCACGTCTAACTAGATGATGGTAGATCAAGGAAAACCATGGCAGATCTGGACGACCAGATCTGAAAATTCGATGCGAAGCAATGAATCTACCTGGACGCGACTTCAAGTGCGGTAGAAAAAAACGATAAACATGTGACATGACCACTGTTTAAGAAAATATATAGCTTAGTACCCCATTTTGTCCCCAGAAACGAGTGTTATTGAGACTCCCGGCTACATTTTTCTACATCAGAACTCGATCCTCTTCGATGAGAACCACACAGCACCCAATCGATCGACGATCTCTCCCGGTCGCCCGGCCCTTCGACTCGACCGAGGTGCATCCACATCGAACTGACAGCTGTCGTCTGCCGCCTGCTCCTGCAGTCGTATGGGTGTTTTTGGCGCCTGACATCAAACAAATAAAAGAGGCACAAAAAAGACAAACACACAAGAGCACTGCTACACGTCCTTTGCCTTTGTTCTTACCTTTCTTACAGGATGGCGATATTGGGTCTGTACCAGCAAGTACCAGACTTCCATGAAGCAACCTTGTGATAGCAATTACTCAAGACTCATCGAACAAGCATCCCTCAAAGTCAATAAGTGTGTTGAAAGAGATATATGTTTCACCCTCACAAATAGCTTCATTGATCTTCTTGGCTAGCGTCTTTCGGTGAGCTATCAAGAAAGGTCAGGAGGCCATTCAACCATATTGAACCCTGTCCAAGTCCATAATGATGTGCCCATACCTGGTCAAGTAAAACAACCAAAGGTTCACTTTCAGCCAAGCCAAACAAACTTGCAGTGTCCGTTTGTGAAATCCAGCTCGAGCCGATGACGCGGAGGAGCACGTAAAGTGGGGAATCCAATGGCACATGGTTCCTCCATCTTGTCCCCACTCTCGTCCCCTAAAACCATGCTTGAAGCAAATAGAAGACACCTCTGGAGACACCTCCTTGAGCCCGAAAACCACCATGGCCGGGTCATCCCCCGGGCGCTCCACAATCGCATGCAGCACCAAATCTACCTCTGAGGGCCTTGAGACGAGGAAGGAGGAGAAAAGGGCAGGGCCACGATCGTGTCGGTCAGCAAATGGTTTCTACAAGCCTTTTAAGGAAGAATTGCAACAAAACAACTTTGTGGTCGAAAGTTCCTGGCGATCATGAGAGAAACCAGGATCAACAGGGATCAAGTGTTGTTCCTTTGTCTGCCTTTTCCTTTGAAAAATGGATCATAGATGCTCATTGTCATGCATATTACATATTACTTCAAGCTACCTGTTCCCGCGGGTGATGTCTTCGACTCGGCGCCGTCCCAGTGCACCGGGACGACAACGACCGGTGGATCGGTCTCCCGTCCCGCTGTAAGCGGGTTGATGCGTTCAACGAAACGAACGTAAACATATAAGTCAGTGGGTTCATCCCAATGTTTCAAGGATGGAACTAAAAATATCCTGAACCTTCCGCTAGCTAATAGGATCTAATAGGGATTGCATTTCATGTGGGATGTTGAGATTCTCCGCCCCGGATCATCGGCTGTCTCGAGTTCCGGCGTGGGAGCCACTCCGAGGGAGGTCAAGAGCGCCTGGCCGGGCGGTTCCGGATCCTGAAGTGTCTGAGCTACACGTGGAACTTCTAGCTACTAGTCACAAGTGCGTCGTTAACTGGTGACAAGTGCATTACTAGTAGATGCTACGAACGTAGCGATGCTCTTGAAGAGACGATTTCCACAACCCGACGTGTCTGAACCAGGTTCGTGGGTCGGAACCAGGGCGGACACCGGCAAACCAAGGGTCTTCGAGCTTGACCAAGGTCTGGACCTGAAAGCCAAGGTGCTCATGCCCGCTACGAACGGAACAAGGAAGCTACTAGGGGCTCCTGGCATCGCTACTAGTAGCAAGAAACTACTAGTCACACGTGGCCGTGTTGGACACCCCGACTGAGTCGCGACTCTTTCCTCCCGGGTGGTAGGTCCCCTCTGGTCAGGAGCAAGGTGCTCATGTGCCTGAGTAACTCATGGATGGTGCGCCGGGAAACATGACGCAGAAACAAATAACGTTCATGAACCCCAAACATGACACCAAAATGACGCAGAAGTGACAAAACCAGCGCTGAAGTTATACAATTTCGCACCAAAATTGTTTGTTGTTGTTTTTTGGAGCTTTGCCTGCAAATTGCACCCACCAGAAAACAAATAATGTCTTTTGCAGGGTCTAGGTATCCCATTCCCTGCAACAGTGGATGATAATGGCAAAGGTCTTTCTCTAAAATAGTATAACAATCGTGATAATCATTTATCGAGGGTTACAAGTAATGGGACACACTCTTAAAATGTAAACAATTGGCAGGTTTTCGGGCCCTTATAAGCTTGCTACCACATCAACCTCTTAATTGTGTCTGGAATCTCCTTCTCCTTTGAAACAAAGAAAGGTATCACAGAAATAGCATGAAATAGCATGAATTAAAAAGAAAAACTGTGTTGCACACCTCTGCACACCATTCCCACCGGTCGATTGACTCACGACATAGTCTTCAGCTTGGCAGGTACCTTCACGACATAATCTTCACCTACAGGCTACAGGAATGTTCAACGTCCCCCCGCAGCGAACCAACGACCAAATCCCCAACTGGAACGCTGGGAACGTATGACTCGGTGGTACTCACTTGCAGACCCAGGATAGGGACCCTCTTGTTTTGGACTGGTTCTATCTGTGCTTGCGCAACGCCTTCTTTTCACCACGGGTGTGCAGTGTGTAGACGTGACGTAAACATTGAATCCACGAAGCAAACACGCCCTCTACGGTCGTGATCCACCAGCCGGACTCAATCCTCGTGTTCAGCCGAACTAACCTTGACTCCCTTGTAGTGAAAGTACAGGATCGTTAGAGTGCTACCACAACCACGACCTGGGCCAAATGAAAACTGTTGGAACTTACACGCATGGGATAGTCATGCGAACAATGACCTTCACCTCTTGGTTCCTTGATTCGACCTTTTTGTGCAAAGGTCATCTTCACAATCCCTCACATGTCTTGGGTGAAACATCTGATAGCACAACAACTGAGAAACCATCATCGTTTACTATCGACTAAGTGCCGAACACCGCCTAGTTTGGGGGTTCCTAAGCTGCGCGCAGCGTATGCACCCACATTGAAACCACATGTTCCAGGAGCTGCTTCTCCAAAACGATTTGGTTTTTGTTTTTTGAACAACTGAACACATGAGAATCATCCACAACCACAGCCCACCAGGGGGGGCCCACCACCCAACCGGTCGCTGTCGGTCGCCTTCACCTCTCGTGGAGAGATACTCGCCTCCGGATCAGTTTGACGACACATGTGACCAAACAAATGAACTCCAGGTCAAACACATGATCTCCTTTTTTTTGTTCAAACAACTGTCTCAGTGACCAAACAACTGCTGGTTTATCCAAGGAATTATGCCAGGCCAACTGTTGTACCCCCAAAGGGGCACAACCAAAGGCTTCGCGGCCTCACGTCCATGAACCTTCTACAAGACCCTGGGCTTTGTCCTCTTCCAGTGTAGCACACACAGCCTAGCACACGCTGTGAAGCCATGTGAACCACACAGTGACCTTGTGTAAACAGTTCCTGGACTGCAAACATGCCCCTGGCCTCAAAAACCTGCACCCAGAGTTCGTTGTGCAAATACTGCACCAACGACCGAACAACGATTCAACACAGTTTCCGAAGCCAATCACTCTTCCAGTTTGACAAAGATTCCCACCTGCCTTTCCAACCAACCCATGAAGCTCCAGGGCCTCAAGTTGGTTGGACAATTCGCGAATTTTCATGGTGCTTAGGTTGTGTTTAAACATGTTGAACGTTTAAAGGCACCAAGGCACAGCTAGGGATATATGTTTAACACGATCACTGACATGAAATAGTTCACCAACACAGATTCTTTCGACTCAGTATAATTCAGACACTTTGGAACTTAGGGGCTGGGCAGCAAGACTTGAACATCGACGGTGGTTTGAAAGAACACGTGGAACAATGTTTTTTTCAAACCAATCAGATTTAACCCACGCAAACGTGCTATAGGGTTTGCAAATAGCACCTCCCCGCAATCAAAACTAGTTGAAATATAATCGGATCGTTCTTGAAATTCATTTAGGTTCATTCAGAATCTCGAGTTTTCACTCGCCAATTGACAAACATGTGCAGATGTTCCCTTGA